TTCGACGGAATTCCGTCAGCAGCTTTTACGAGCAGCTTCACCTTAGCTTGCGACACGTGTCCAAGACAAGCATGCCGGGTTGTGCCACCGCCATTCAACTCTACACTTGCGTTCGCCTGCGACATAAGTGCATGTTGGCCAACGTGCCATACATACAGTTTACCAGTACAAGGAATTCGAGCAATCGCCTTCTCATCAATCATTAACGATGCACCATGAGTATTAAATTGGATGAGGCCCCCGTGCGCAGTCAACGCGGGCACCGATACTAGCTTGCTCTCCAGGTGCAGGACATGGAGCACTTCCGTAAGTTGACACCACAAACAACAGCAAGAATCATACAAACTTAGCCAACACTGGCAACCATCACACCGATGGGTGTATCCAATTGACGATAGTCACTATAATTATCAGACATTCCAGACATGTGGCAACTAGCTCCACGATCTAACAACCACGTTGAGTAGTCTTCTCTCATTGAAGACCACCGAGAAGACGAACTCGTCACCACAGCCCTGCTTCTGCTGGGTACAGTCTTGTCGCTTGTGGTCATACTTACCACATCCATGACAGTGGCCGTTGGGCCGAACTAGGTGGTGTGGTTCTTCCAGGCACCATGACCACCGTTACCGTTGCCATTGCGACGTCCATTATATCCATTAGCGACCATCGCCATTATGAGCAGGACGAGGCTTACGTTGAGAAAGCTGGCCTTGAATGCAGCTTCTTTCTTGTCACAACGCGTGAGCTTCTCATGTTTTCGACGCAGCATCTCTTTTGCATCCAAAAGCGTGACGCCACTTGTCGCTTCGATGATTCGGGCCATAGCAACATAATCCTCAGGCAGACTGCTAATAGCACTACAAGCTTTTCGTCATCATCGATGCGCTCATCAGCGGCAGAGAGTTTAAGATACAATTCCTCAAAGCGCATCAGGTGCGCCATCGGGTCGCCTCCGGTTTCAAGCTCAAAATCACTTTGTTGTTTACGAAGCTGAAAATGGTTGTGCAAATTCTGCTTTGCAAAGAAACAGTCGCAGCATTTCCCATGCTTCAAATGCCAATTGCGCATTGCGCACCATCGATTGGTACGTAGGATTGAGGAGCTTGACTAAGACAACCAAAGCCTTCAGGTCTGAGGCTTCCCACTCTGGCGTGTCGCGCTGCACGGCTTGTTCTGGCTCGATGACGATGTGATCAATCAAGGACTTGTGGGCAAGAGTCATCCGAGCGTCGAAATCTTATAGGAATTAATTGTCGTTCCGAAAAACATCGGTGAGACCGACTAAACCTGGGCATATAGCCTTAACGAATGAAGAGGAATTTGAAGCAGAACTGAGCAGAGGAGCACGAATTGGAAAGTGAGATTTCGTAGATTTAGGTCTCCTACATATGCATGCGACTCTCAAGGAGAAGTCACCATCTAGACAAGCAGTATTTACGGCGAAGGACCGTGAGCCAAACACCAAAATTACGGTCAGCACATCCAGAATGCCGAATGCCACAGAGCCTTGATTACGGTGAGCTGTAATCAAGGTTGAACTTCACCGATGGGTGATGAGTTGCCGCCAGCTTGGTATATTTCACGCTTAGTAGCAAAATAATCTGGGTGCTGCAATACTTCTTATGATGCCTTCATAACACCGATACTTTATTAGCGCGCGAGGTTGCTCTTTGTGTGAAGGATATAATTATCTTCTGTATTAGGCTGCGAGGCATCATATCATACGAGCAAGGAATGCTTAGAATGCGGAGATGGCTAAACGAGGAGACTCTCAAAAGTCTGCTTTGGAATACTAATATGTATCAAGCTGACTTTATCCGAGAGGTAGTCGAAAAAGTTACCGCAAATGATGGATCAATGCAAATGACAAGAGCTGATTTATCAAGGCACCGTAGGAGCTGTCAAAAAACCTTGTTTCAAAGAGCATCAAAGATCGAAAGCATAGTCAATGAAGATGCTGGCGCAATTGTGTTAGTTTAATCTAAAAATATCAACAAATCTCAGTCAGCAAAAGCGTTCTGAACAAATGCTTACGCGAATTAGCGCGTTTGATATTTGAGATTTTGAAGAACGAGATAAGTCTGTGTTTCATTGCCCAAAAAGTAAAAAGGGAAGATTGTGCTCAAAATTCCATCGATTAATCCCCCCAGAATGTCATTCACGGAACGATTTTGCAATTGTTTGCCGTTTTGCCGTCACCTAGCACAGAAGAAGTTGTGAATCAATGCAGGCTCGTTTACGAATACACATAAACAGGTTCATTCTATTCACCATGAAAGGGTACCGAGAACCTCTTAGATGACAAGATTCATAGCTTGCTTTACAATCAGAATAAGTGTATATCCAAAGCTTTCTTAATTATACAAATACGGAGTATATGCATTATTATATCCATTTACAAAACCTTCTGTATTGCTTGACTTGAGCTACCAGCCCACGAGACATGTAGATCCCTCATTTACGAGCTTGCATCTTCCTCACGAAGATTAATACTTTGACACCTTTTGGTTTCGCACAAAATTATGCTTACTTAAATATAATCGCTCCATTCCACAGAAGTGCAATTGTACAGCACCCTCCTCAACCAAAGTGCAAACCACACATATTTAGTCTCATAAAGGAATTGCAGAAAAGCAAACACTTAAGAAACACGCTTCGCAAATGAAGTTTGGGCCCTTTCATCTTGCACCGCCTATTGATTTAACCATACTTGCAATGAAGATCCTTTTTTGCAAATCATCGTATGGTTTAGATAGCATCCGGAATAAGCGCGGTTTGTGGGGCTCATAACCTTTCAGCAATCCCCGGAATCATGAATTACTTCAGCAGGTCCACGTTAAGCGCAGTGTGTATGAGAATTCTTGGTAAACACGAAGCTCAATATCATACTGTAAACGGTCCATGTAGCGTGGGCTCAACTTTGACTTTTAGACCGCTAACATTACGTGTGTATATGGGTTGACAACGTTTGATAAAACATTTTAATTACAGCATAACATGTGGTTTACGATCTTCTGGCATTAGCGCACAGCCTCTGCACATTTGGGCTCTCGTCCCCAACTTTGCGATTTCGGCGCATAACAGTTAATCTTATCGAGTTAAAATCCACGACATTACTATTGTATATAGCCAGACTGATACCAGCAAGCAAATTGTATTATGAAACCCACTCAGCCAGTACCGGGCCGACTTCGCAGTTGTGTCAAAGAAACAGAAAGATTAGCCAGGCAATTTATGATCAGTTCTAATAAAATAGTGTAAGGCCTGCAAACGTGCGCGCTCCGTCTTTAAAGCAAAATAAATGACCGCTAACAATAAGTAGGCCGCTCCGACCCCGTACTTATAGAACCAAACAATTAAAACCCTTCGCTGAGAGATTCGTCTGTGGGTGGTCGAGCGACGAGTGAAGGACATTTGAATCTAGTTGTTGACCCCCCGAACAGAATTCACTAAAACTATGGTATGAAGTTGATCTCAACCCGAAAAATGGTTTATAACAAGCCATGTTGGCACAAGGCTTTGCCTAGGAACAGGTTGATTGTTTCCTCGCCGGTTACATTCTCACTGATATCAGCGGGTTTACTTGAATGGTCCACGAAGACCGTAATGTCTGTAGTACCGGACGCGTCATTCGGAAGACTAAACAAATATCATACCTTTGGATTCTGTTGTAACCGACAGGCTAGACGAAGGTCAACGCATGTGGCGAGATTATAACCTGCTGACATATTTTTCTTGTGTGCAAAAATGTAATTTTTCAACGATACATGTTGACATACCATTACGTGTTGTTCACTTAGCCTGAACTACCAGTACAAATTGCTCGCTTTATATTTTCCCTTCCCAGGTGAACACCAACGGGTGTCGAAAGCATTTTTCGCTTGATGTCCTCATGTTGAAAAATCACTACGCATTGAAGAGCAAGAAGGTCAGTGTGTTAAGACAACAAGCCTTGAGATGAGAAATTGCGGTGCAAACGTACAGCCGGGCACTTCGACTGAGCTCACAAACGTTAATTTTCCAAAATTTTCAGCAATGTAACGCATGTTGTGTCTGAACTATATGCTCCATATTTCGCCTCATCAATGTGTAAAATTCTTATCGAAACATGTGATAACGGGGCGACGTGAGAGCGCATTGTCACCACGTTAAGCCTACCGGGCTTACCTTGCCTCGATAGTGTACTCGGCAAAGAGGAATGTTAATTGTGACTTTATTATTTATAGATAGGAAGTCGACGCCGCTATGTGCAACGCCGCAAAATCTGTAATGGCCAGACTACCAAGTTAATGTATCCCAACTTTGACTAGAGTATACTTCTTGCAAGTAAATTCTTGTCAAAACTAGAAAAGCTCTTCTCTGCCACTTTTGACTGGCAATTTTAAAACGCGATCATGCGTGCGCACGCATTGGCATCTCCTTATGTAAAGCACAATCAATGGCAAAGGCCAACGTATCACAGACTTCATGATGTCGTCAATCTGGATTCAGAATAGCCAGAAATGAGATGTGCTTGAGATATAGCCTTTAAGACCATCTCTTGTGTCGTATCTCAGCCTGTGCAACATCTTTTTGAGTAGATTATGGAGGGGATGCGAAATGTCGGCATACTTTGCACTGCAGCTGTACAAGAAGCTGGCCAGGCCAAGCCACTTATTTAATAAATTATAAACAGAAGCAATAGTCAGCCAACAACGGCCTTGTGGAATCCGCTACCCGAAGTTGCTTCCCAATACAGCCACCTAAATTAGGGATGTCGTCGGCGCAAAAGACACAGTATTTTCACTGAGCAATAACTTGTGGAGCCACACACACTCGAACATTCCTCTCAAGAGCTCAATCTGGCTCTCCACATCCACCTCCCCGTGTTCTGTACTACTATGAGCGAGTATATCGTGGAAATAGATCTGTGCATAGCCACAATCTGACCTGACCAGATGTATAATCAGCCAGAACGTTGCTGGTGTATTAGACAGTGCTATTGGCATGATCGCTACTCCGTGGGCATTCTGCTTGAGTACTCACCGCTGTAAGAGTAATGCCATTGTCTCTCATGAACAGGTAATGATAATTTTGTCTACCAGAGTTAAAGCACTGAACAATCTAAATCGTCCATGATATTAGCAGAACATCCTTTTAAGAAGTATCACATAGAATGGACGCAGAGTGTAGCGTTTTACTTTTTGTCACCAGATTCCGCGCCCAAACCAGTGTTTATAATGTTACACATGCCTTAATAAGGACTATTGTCTCGTGACGTAGTTATTGGATAAGAGCACCAAGATGCAATCCCAGATCCGGGTCGACATACGTGATAGGTCTCTTATTACTACGTGTAATATTCCTTTTACAAAGAATTCTAAGGAACGCTAGGATCTTTGGAGTGTTTTCTCATTTCTCGCACGTAGTAATTTGTGAATACCTTCAATGACGGGCCCATCCATAACGCATCATGAGCTCAGCTCGTGCACGACTTTGTGGTTGCACATCAAATACCCAAGTCCATTTCCTCACGCTTTCATTATGCAGCTTGAGTTGCGATGGTGTAGATAAGCGGTAATGAACAAGTATCAGCACGTTTTTACCGTTTTGCAAGACATTTACTTAGTTATTGCTCCGAAATTTCACTTTAGAGACGACATATGCAATAGGAAAAACGAAAAAATTACACTCTGTGCAATATGTTACAGGACACAATGTCGCGCAAATGTTTGATTACATATCTAACATCAATGCAATTGAGCAGTTCTCATGGGTACTAAAGCGTGGAACTGATGTGGATGATGGAACTCAGAAAGAACGGGCCCGTGGGACCACAGAATAACATCCTCACATCAAGTGATACGAATAGCTTTACAATTAAGCATAATATTACGTAATAATCAGTACTGCCTTAATTATAATTTGTACATAACATAGTTCTGTATAAAAAAAAGAGCAAGCTAGGTATGTTTTTAATTTGATAGAATCTCTCCTTTTTGATAGAGTTTTTAAGCCTGTCTTCTGCGTGTTTGTTTGCGCGGACTCGCCGACGAAAATGTACACGGCCACCGCATTGTACGTGCACCTTACACAGAGAAGCTTTGTTTTTTTCATTGTCGACAAGTGCAATCATTTGTCGTCGTCAATTTGGTCACTGAGTCTTCTCTAGACTGTAGGTTGGAACACGAATAGCTCAACTGAATGCCCCAAACAATTAGACACGCTTAGTAAGCTTATGCTTATGTATGACCCCGAAGGAAGAGAGCAGGGTGGTCAGGTGTGTTCCAATATCCACTCAGCTAAAAAAAAGAGGCAAAAAGAACGCTTTTGTCCAGAAATTGCAAACTTATATCGCCGCGATGGCGGCAGAGTCACTTCAAAGGCAGTGACAATTACAATGGTCTTCGAATAGGTAAGCCTTTAAAGACTCTCCCATTAACACTTTGCCCATCGAGAAAGTGATCATTGCCGTGGCAGATGCGAAGTATACTTCTCTGGCTGTAGGTCCGTTGACGAACGAAAGGTGAGAGATCAATAAGTGTACCTATAAAGATGGACGTCAGCCATGCTGAGGAGAAAACAAAAGTTTTGAGCTACCGGACAATTATATGGTGTTCGCAGATGTTACATGTCTGACCGTACAACCACTCAAATCCTTCATGCTCCGGTTTCTATTTATCGGCTGAGAGGTATAAAAAGCTGGGCTTCCACGCAGGATTTTCTGACCAGCCTCATCGCGGAAAAAAGTCGAGCTCAAGCAGATCGCTTGGCACCTGTAAGGAATGAAATGGATTCTGTTTTCCTGCGTGTTCGTCGAGGCGAATTGAACTCAACATTAAAACTCCTTTTAGAAGTTGGGGTTATAGCTCAGGGTTGCTTATTGTCAACATGAACGTTTCCTTTGAACAGTAAGGACAAAAACGATACATCAACGAAAGGTGAGCAAGTACGTATTATGCGCTATTATCTTAGGGAGTAGATGATACGCGGCGACATTGCAAGTGCTATACACTGAAAAAACTTGCGCGTCTGGTGTCAAAGGATCTGCTAGAATTTCCAGATAATTTATGAGGACTTTCAACGCGTGAATTGATAAATTCTACCTTGACCTGGATTCAAGACATGACCTAAGCTTAAGTATGCATAGGATCTGAAGCAGTTGGCGGTGTTTCCTGCGCAGAAGCTGCCAGTGTCTGAGTATGAGCTAATTCGGCGGGATCTTGTAGACTCGAGCTAATATGATTGTGCACTGTAGATTCATTTGGGACGCTACAAATGCCACTTCAACGCTAGCTTCAAGTCATGAGACATTGCTTCGAAAGTGGCAGCTAAATGAAGGATCAGTTGAAGCGCAGGAAAAGTTGGAGCTGGACGTTTTAATGATGGCATAGGTTGAATGCCATGAGCCATGGACTGACTGGAAGTCGAAATGTGAGTTGAATTTTGGAGGTCATAAACCCGTCTCTGCTCATAAACAAACGTGCTTCTGGCAACTGTAATGCAGTCACACCTCTATATGTGGACACCAGTCTGTGCGACCAAACCATCATGTTCCACATATAAACCGTTCACATTGGGAGGGTGTCAAATTTACCTATTTCAAAGTACTGAGATATGGTGGTCTGAGTCTTGCGCTATATGCACTCTTTCCTGGCAAACTCCGCCACGTTTGCTAGAGCTCGTGTCTCTTCGTCGCAGTTAGCATGACGAGCGATAAACTCTGCAAGCTTGACACAGCAAGCTAAAGCCGCTGATGGTTGTCTCGGGGCTTCAGCCTCCGAGTCGTTGTCACTCTCTTAATCCGCATCAAGCCCAACTCGGTCGATCACATCCTGGGTACATTCAACTGGCTCTGCTGCAATGTACGCTTTGACACCGTTGGTAACATGCATCTCCTTCATCAGCTCAGCGAGATTCTTTTCCACGCTCTCTTCCACCGCGTGACAATGATCGTTCTCCTGCCCAGTCGTGCCATTGTCGACGCGTCGACAATGCTGCTCCGCAACCAGTAGTTGCACAGTACTTGAGCGGATACTTCCTCCCAATGGCGATCGCAAACTACACAGCCTCAACACATTCAACTTCCGATTGACGCCGACATGCAAGGCATCAAGCAGCTAATAGCTTGCGTCAATAACGAACTTTGAATGAACGAATGATTCCTAGAACAGAGACAGTAGTTAGTAGGCAGAAAGAGCTGTGTACGTGTACCGTATTGCTTACCTGCATCCAGTGGCTGGATCAGTGATGTCATTTTGGGTGGCAGAAATCTTACCGTAAAATTCCGATATACATAGTTGACTGTGTGGCTGGACGTCATACCCAGGAGTAGAAAAACTTTGCGGCCGTGCATTTTGAGGTCGAAATGCTGAAGCCAAGTGGAAAACGTAGTTCGATTCTGCCACGCGGTCGGATTGTAGAAATTTTGGAATCGCATTGCTGAAAATTTAACTTGTCTGAACGCTCGTGGCTGCTTCACCTTGCCAAAAACAACAGCACAGGTTTTTCAGCTCCAGATAGATTGCAACAAAATCCATTCGAAAAAACGGTTTTTTCATTTGTTGAAACATGTCGACCGACCGACGGAAGGGTTTTGTTGGAAGGGAGGCGGTGGAACAGCGCAGACTTGTCCTACTCAAACACGCCTACGGAGTTAAACTGAGCATTGAGTTCTTGGAGCTCGTACTGACTGACTGCGAGGCTGACACGATCAACAGAATGGCTTTCACCATGCAGTGTACACAATTTGATGCCGTGGCGTGTCTTGAACCTGTGGAGCCACCCGTTAGACAGACTGAGTTCGGCATCCGTGATGTCAAGTCTGTCTCAAATGGAGCGAGCCTCTTCGATCAAGAGATCGTCCGAGAGGATGGTCTTGCCGTCATTATTTTTGTACAGCGCAAGAAAAGCCGACTCGAACACAGGAAACCGAACACTGCAACTATTTTTACGGCCTTAAGAGCCACCGATTGCATTTTCTGGCGTATGGATGATGCGATGCACCGTCGTGCACGATTAATTGACCTTGAACTTGACTCGAACCATTCTTAAAGTCGGAACAGCTTGGTACCCGTGTTGCGCTTGACATGTACTTGTATTCGGCGTTTTTCTTCCAGATCAAGCAGTCGCTGGCCTCCGCCCATGGTTGTATGCCTCCAAAACTATCGATCACGGTCCAGCAAGAGTTCAGAAATGAGGAAAATCCCGTGTTTTGTGACCACAGATTTTGTTCCAGTTCCAAAGATCCCACCAATAGAGGTAGCATACAAAAACCAATACAAAAATCGGTGCAAAATGCTGGTGTTCCACATAAAAGATTTCACTATTGGAGGTCCACATATGGAGGTGTGCTGTAGCATCAATGCAGAAGATGAGATCTATCCGTCCAAAATCTTGCTAATACCTTAAACAGAGATGGGCGGCAGTCAGCCGCGGGTCTAGGATAAGACAGATAATAGTAAACGTATATCGCGGTATATAGAGTACATCTCAGCTGAGACAGGTATAAAATACTGTTTGTATCAATTCCCAGATTGTATTTAAGGTGCAATGAAAAATAAAGCTCTAAGCTAGTTGCTTGCCAGAACTGGCGGAAATTATCAGCGAGCAGGAAGCGTAGTCTGTGCTTGATTCGGTGAGATCTAAACGCAGCTGCGTTTTGCCGTGAATCTGGTGACTGTAAGTCATAACGGAACTGGCCTTGAAGTGACAAATAATTTGTCCTGTGTTTCTCACAATGCAGCGAAATTACTGAGGAAGGACTACCCTGTGAAGATCGCTTCGAAGAGGCTTGAAGGCAGTAAATTTTTCACAGTTCTGGTTCTATAAAAAATGCTTACCCCTAAATGGAGGTTGTAAGTCTCCCCTCATGATCTCCGGTAGAAACCTTTATATAGCTGGAGGAATTTCTCTCAGAAATTTGCAAATGGAATTCACGCAACGTAATCAGCAGCTGAGATATCGGCCCTTTGTATTTTGAAGCAGATAACAAACTTAACTCATACCCTCCACACGAGTTAATAAAAAAATTGATGGTGCAAATCTATATTCAACAAGCAATTCAAAGATTTCTGCCGAATGGAAATTGCCTAGCCTAAGTCCTGCCCGAAGCAGAAATAGTCTGAGCAAGAGTTATTGTCAAGGCATTCACCAGAGTTCCGCTAAAATCTGAAAACCTTTGTCGAAGTGCTTGTCCAAATCTGGCGTCCCTGTTGCAATGGCGTCGAATTCTAGAAGAAAATGTCTCGCACGTCGGAGTTCTCTACCAGGCACAAATCGAAATTGGTCTTCTTACAGCAACGTAGGTAAAATCTGATCTTGGTATGAGCCGAAGCTTTGTGGCCAACACTAGCATCGTTGTCAATAATGTGAGAGGCCGGTGGTTTTTCAGGTCCATGCAACTGCCGTTTTTGTGAAGACGAAGTATAAAGGTGCGGTGTTAAAGTTTAGTCATACCCTCTACCCGGAGTCGTGAAACGCGAACCAGTTTTATAATGAACGCTCTTCAATCGAAAAGCTGATGCAATTCCGCAGATAAACCATTCGGGCCCAAATAGAATTTACCGCGTGTAGTATGATGAATGCGTGATCTTTGAAGGGGCGTCTAGTGCAATAGTCTGCAGTGATGATAGATTTTGGTGGTAGTGTTGTGATGTAATTTGGAGAACGGCTGGATCGACCTCTTTAGATTGTCAATTATGTCGGGCTGACAACATTGGCCATAAACGTCCGATAAGTACAACTTGATCCCGGGATATTCCCATCGGTGTGTCAGTCAGGCTTTAAATCGGTTGCCGCTGATTTTATAAAGAAACGGATGTGTTGAGCTTTCTGCTTAGGTAACGTCCCGTTCAAAATTCAAAATAGCGTTGCGCTCACGGTGTTCCGTAGTAATGTTTTCGAAAGCTTGACTGGTATTACTTGGAACTGTGATTCAGAGGACTTGGTCGATAGAGCGCAAGTTGACACTCTGAGTCTTGAAGTGCTATCAAAATTCGTCGTATCGGTAAAGTTTACGCCTTGTTTCCTCCTCAAATATTCCTTTCTCATAAATGTACGGTCACGACGCCTGTGCGGTATCTTGGATTATGTGAAGGATCCATAGACGTCAGTAGCTGACATTCAGTATCTTTGTAGTAAAGAAGACATGCTAGGCAATGGAAAGGGTTTGTATTTTTATAAATTGCTTTCGATAAAGCAGCAAATCTCTCTGGGGCGAGAACCGTCAGAAGCGTGTTTTGTGAAGCGGATAAACTTATTTAAACAATTTACACTGGCGAGACTGAATTCATGGCTTTTCGAGCCGTTAGGAGTCTATTGAACCTAAGATTACCATCCAGTCAGATAACGCGGATCACCCATCATCAAATGGTACGCGAAGCCGTTGAAAGTGCATGGTTAAGCGCTGAAAAAAGTCCGTTCGTTCTGACGATAATGCAGAGGCGTACAGCACAAAATGAGGTACTTCTCTAAAATCCAAGCTGTGCTGCTATAATCAAGCACCGATCAATCAATTATGGGTCAATTAGCGTACTGCTCGGTGACGTCTTTAAAATGTCTGCTACGCTTTGACCAAGGGCGACACCGCTGCAGGCTGAAACAAAATCGTGTTGTGTAGACCGTAAACACGGGCGTCAGCATCAAATGTGTTTGTGATATATTTGTTATTTTTAATGATCTCAATTTTGGGGAGCTTCAGTTATTGAAGAGCCACGACTCGATAACGAGGGAACAGACCTTGATGTAATTCTAGCCCTAGCCTTGGTCTAGTAAGACCGTTGACATTGATCGTGACGGCTAAAATTTTTCTCGTTAGAAGTCAAAGCAAAGAGAGTATTCTGCGGTAGGGGCTGGCTTTTAATCATGTATAGAGTTTTCAAATAGGCTCGTATTGCATTGAGTCTAACTTAGCCGAGCCACCACAAAATGTATCTATGAGTAGGGGAATGGGAAGGTTGGTTGAGTTTCGTAATTTCTCATCTGTCAGCTTACGACTTGGACAAGATCCTGATAGACCATCAATACCACAATTTGAAGGACTAATGTACCGAAGTGCAAGACCTTGGATTAGTTTATGAGCAGTACCTGTGGCTTGTAGGACGCGAATACTATTGCGCTGCTCCTTACTCTTGTCATGGGGAATAGGAGCCAGGAGACGGCACATTGCTCTTAACAGAAAAGTTCATTGCTCTTAACAGAAATGTGCCGTCTCCTGGCTAAGAGCAATGTGTCGAGTTTTTCCTTCAACTATAGTCCCAAGTGACTGCAGGGATAGCATGAATGATGACAAGCTGGTCTAAAGGAGTTTTCGGGAATAGTCTTTTTGAAAGTATCAAGATAAATTGAGAGCTTGATTATTCGTCGTAGTCAACCGTATGCATTATCCAGCACTGTACAGTATTACCAACATACATATAAATCGTAATCGATTGTTAAACTCTGTATTCGTTATCGTTTATACAGGTGTTTCAAATCTGAAATCCGCATAAAATTATTGTTAGATTCAAATCGCGCCCAACCCGTTAGATAAGGCAGTGACCGTTGAAATGAAGATTATCCGCTTGGCAAACACAACTACTCATTCCTTACAAAGATCACTTTCATATGTATAATCGAATGGTGATCGCTAAAAGACGTGAGAGGAATGCTAAGCTTATCATCTCAAAAAGGCAATTTGTACATCAGTTAACTTACATGTATGCTCGAGTCCAACACTGAAATTAGTTGTGCGGTGAACTTCTGATTTGATGTGCAGGATTGTCTGTGTGGCAATCATAAAATCTCGTTTAAATTAGCTCTCTAGCGGCATATCGAAAATAGAGTATACAGAATTCGCGAAGATCTTGTCCCTCTAATCATAGAGATAGATGCACGCAAGTTTTCTTGTCTAGCTTGAATCGCAGTTGTTAAATTTCAGCTGGATACCTCGGCTTGAAAAATGCACAGTGTCATGGCTGCGACGCCTCATCACCGTCTGGAGTCCGAACCTTCAGAAAACAATTCCGATAAACGCTATCGAGCGGCAGGCCTCGCGTGTTTGGTCACTATAGTGATCTTGGCGACATATGCTGCCAACTCAGTAACAAAGTTGCGAAGCGAGAAATTTACACCCATGCAGATTGATGACCTCTTAGATACCAATGAATCGATATACATTGATAATTCAGGAAAGATTTCAGCTCCATCAAACGTGTCGACAGCATCCACTTTGCATGCTGTCCACATTGCAATGGGCTGTCCGGAAATGGAGACTGCATTTGATAATGCTATCGCTGGTAGCCTCATGCCTTTTCGCTCATTTACGCTGACCAAAGGTACCGGGTATGCTTACACAGCGCTTCATCTTAGCAAGCTTTGGGTTCCTTTCGGTACTTCGGTGATGCTTCGTGCGGTCGAAGGTTTTGATTCTCCCGATCGCACATTTAATCTAACGATCGACTACCCAAGCGGTCAATTGTACAATGACGTTCTCGCACCGCCTCTGCTAGCAAAAGAGTTTCGTCTTGAGTTTTATCGCAATGTTGATAGTGTCAATACGACACTCCTTGATGCAGATCTCATTGCAAGCCCCTTTAGCGTTACAGACAGCGGTACAACATGTTTTGGCTTCGTAGTGGATGCGTACTACTTCGTGCTTATGGATGACGACAATCCGATATTCGCTACGGATGAATCAATTTGTGCCGTAGACAACACTAGGGAGGCCATTTGCTACTACGACGACAGTCCCACACGAATGGCTTATGTAGCATCTCGAGCCGTCGCTCGTTTGCTCATTCCAAAAGGTTCTGGCGCGTCCGCCGGATGCACGGCCTGGTTAATAGGAAATCAGGGACACATGATGACTAACTACCATTGCGTGTCTACGGATGACGAAGCAAGCGGCACAACAGTTGAGTTTATGGCAGAGGCAAATATATGTACGGAAAGTGTATCTTGCACATCATGGGGGGCTTGTTCAGGTGAGGTTGTTGCAATTAGTGTCAAACTTATCCACGTCAATGAAAATTTAGACTATGCACTCATACAACTACCAGCTGATGGAGCTAATATTGCTCAAACGTATGGGTACTTGAGACTTAAGATGCGTGATGGCGTTGTGGGTGAACAAGTGTATATTCCACAGTATCCATTGTACCAAGGCAAACGGATTGCGATGATTGATGACTATGCTAATAACGTAGCATTATTAAGTCTGAGTGCAAGTTCCTGTGGCACAATCGGCTACTCGTACAGCGGAGATACACAAAGTGGGTCATCTGGCTCACCCGTGCTTTCCTTCTCCGACCACGGTGTAATTGCTCTTCACCATTGTGGCGAGATGTGTGCCAACACTGGCATTCCAGCTAAACATATTATTGCTGACTTGATGGTGAATGGTATCGATTTAGCGGAGTTCGATGGACTTGATGATGGGTCTGATATACTGGCAAATACAGAATGCTTTCCTGCGTATACTCGACCAGCACCTGAAGTTGTTCAGCCATTAACGCCACGCTTGACGCTCGATGGTGCAATTATTCTTGCTTCGAGTTACGTTAGCATTGACATGATAAAGTTTACATTGGATCGCGATACCGACGTCTCATTTGATGTTCTTTCGGTTGAAATTGCGGACAACGATACATTTTACGACCTTAACGGTGACTGTCGACCTTCCTACTTGGATTCCATGATTTATCTTTTTGCGGAAGGAGACTCAAGTGTCGTCTTTGCGGTTGATGATAGTCCAATTGATGCTGCAAATCAAGATGGATCCATTAGCTATCGTGATCCATACAAACGTACTTTTCTCAAACAAGGGACTTATGATTTATTCATTGCACCGACAGGTTCAAGTCAAGAGGACGCTCTTGCTGGCAAAACAAGAGCAGATTACCCACCAGAACTCTACACATGCCGCACTCGTGGCTCGTTTGGCTCGTACAAGCTCCGAATTTCAAGCACAGTAGGTGGTGACCCCTTTACGTTTATGAGCCTTCCTGCAACGGTAGGTATAAACCCAGCATCGTGCCAAAAGGCAGTCGACACTATCTGCTATTGAATGGTATTGTCACTATGAAAACAAAGTCGCGATTAAATTATTTGTACAGAAGGCGAAACTTGAAACATGTTTGACGGATATGTTAAGAACTGACAACATTGGTCACTTGATCTACACAGTTTGTTCAGAGTCTGAGGAAGATGCAAAAGAGTAGTCTGTGCCTGAATGGAGGGCATAATCGGAGTGGTTACCCGTGATTTGTGCGCGTGCGGCGTCTGAGGCGCTTATCTCGAACGCATCCTTGATACACAAGGGACAAAAAGATGTCTTGCGCTCTTCAAACGTCATCTCGAGCGTCACAAAATTCAAACGTTTCTTGACGCGACATGTGCCACATACAAGACGATGACAAAGCTTGCAAGAATCACGAAACCGTCCAAATGTGCTAAAAATCTTGGAACTGATGGGAATGCCGCAGCTTATACATTCGCCTTCGCTAAGGGAAGCACCACGTTGTTTGTCCAACGTATACCGGCGGTGCATCAACCATGTCAATTTTTTCATTTCACCGCAGTGAGCAAATTTTAATGCCGTGAAAAACTTCATTGCTGAAGGTGTGACTGAAAGTGACTCTACATTTGATCCGTTGGCAACAACGCCAGACGAATACATTTCAACACAATGATCTTGTAGTTGACGGTAGAGAAAGAAAACATTTACGCTTGCACGAACGCGATTTGGCAACTCTGGCGTCTGAGGGAATCCTATCGAATACATCAATCGATATCCAACGCGTTTCCCGTTTCCAAGTTGTGTAAATCCCGTGGCTTCCATGAAGACATAGTCACGTTTATTTGAGTGCAATAACAAATTGAGCTCTTGCCATTTTAAGGTGATTGTTGTAAGCGGATCATTGAGTGTAGGTTCCAATACGGTGGCCAATACCGCTGCACCGGAGAGATCATCTACGTACGTAGCATTAAAGCACATGTCTTCTGACGTTGTGCACATCGTACCGTAAACAACATCTTCCACGTTGCCGTGCATCTTGCCTACACAGAGCGTCACGGGTGTCCCAGCTTGCTCCGAAGCTTCGTCCATCATCGAATGATTTCCATCTGTCGTTGTGCGCACTTCACGCTCAAGATATAGTCGTAAGTTCTCCCTCGTCTTTATCAGCTTCCATTGACGTTCGTCCACATTGTTAGCGCCTTGCTTAAGGTACATTTCGTAAGACTGCAAAGATTCGGCAAGAAAACTATTTGCAGTCTTTTGCATCTGTAATTTATCGCCTGCCGATAGCTCCATTGACGGGAATGGGTTCATTAAGAAGCGCTTCTTACCGCCCATCACTTAATCAATGTGTCGTCAATTTCTGGTCTTTCGTGACGAGAGCCGCTTTAAAAATGGCTGATTATCTGTCCGGATCAATTTACGGATTTAATTTCGGCATCGACGCAAGCGTCTGAGCGTATATCCCTCTGAAGGAACACAGAAAGACGATGGAAAGGTGATTGTTGTGGCATCGATATACTTGACGTCTTGAACGATGGCAAGAACGGCACCGCACTCGCTTTCGTGCGGGATAGCGGAGTTGTACTACTGCAATTCCTTTACCCACAACAAGAGTAAATCAAAGGCTTTAGACAATTGTACACAGTACATGATATATACAGTTTACATGCATGCAAAGAGCTTGCGTACCTATGTCCCGATAAATTACATAGAGAAGACAAACAGGCATGAAGCATGGATTCTATTGTGATTTCTTGGCACCGTCATGTGCAATTTTCATGCGTAGGCTTCCCTTACTATATAGAAAGTTTGGTATTCAAACTCGACAGAGTATCATTTGCTATCACGAAAAGGGAATCGTTGATGGAAAGCGTCTGTGGCACACTGACGTACACGACAAGAGACCTGAAAAGATTCGCACGATTGGGAAAGAGTCTGACGACTGGTTGATCAACTCTTAGTCTGGAGGGTACGACTGACATTCCCTAATTTGTACCGCTATTCAGAAAAATGACTGCTGTCGTATATTTTAAGCTCGCGCTCCATTTGGTATCTCATTGATTGTTTTCCCTACTTCTACCACGATTTGAAAGGATATAAACGACAGGCCACACAGCGTCCGTGCACGGAATATGCATCACAATTAATTCATGAAGATCACAGACGTAAACTCTTTGTGGTCGACGTAACAACGTGGTGATGATATAGGGTTTGCTTCGATGTATCCTTCTTGGCTGAACACAATATTATCGTCGCAATTTCTTGACAAACGCTCTCTCTAACGCAAAGGCGTTGATGTTTCTAAGCTTCATTTCTGTCGTCCAGCTGATTTTCGGGGGCGAGCATGGCTTATCGTGCTAGTGTTGATTTGTCGAAACAAAATGCGTTTTATGCAGAGCTCGCCTACACCAGCCCAGTCTTTTTTAATTTTATCAACAGACTCTGTACTCTTTACATCCTCAACAAAAACCGACATTCAGTAACATGCGTTGGCAGCCAGCGCCGATGCTTCCACAGGTCTAGGTCATGAAGTGGTCGTAAACTTAACGACGTCGTGTCAGGCAAGAAGAGCCTGGTCTTCTTACAAACCAAGCTGTGACTCGGTGCATATTGTAACAATATGCAGCCAACTAAGTACCAAGGTCTCATGAGAAAGATAAAGAAGGAGAATTGTATGATAATATGGGGAGTATTCGCAATTTTTCTTTTTTTCTCGAATTGCACAAATGAAATTTAATTGCTTTAATTAAAAATACAAAAGCTGAAAGGTATCTGTTAAGAGGATGATTTGATTTTTTGGATGCATAATTCGACATTAGTATTTTTGTTATAGCAAATACACTTGAACAGAGTTCGTGTTGTAAGGTAAATATTGTCGGACAGTCTTTTCGGCGAACTCTGTAATGCTCACTTTTACCTGGTTTCGTTGCGTGGGGGCGCAGTTTTGGTCCGCGCCGACCATGGACATGTATGTAGCTATTATTGCCCAGCTCGGCAAATTTACACGCGGACAGGCGATCTATGGTCAATATATGATAAACTCCCCTCAGGACGACTTTCAGAGATTAAAATCTTGAAAGTATTGCCAGTCGACAATATTTAAATATGCTTGACAAATGTACTAACAGAGAAACCAGCGTAATACTTGATGAAAGTCTACTCGGAATAATTAGGTTCACGATCACAGTGATGGCCATAGGAAAAATGATTGAAATTGAAATCAGCATTGAGTGCTGCGCGCCGCGACTATCAGTAAAACTAATCTCGTATGGGTAGGTTAGAAGTCCCGACTTTGTAATTGACTAACAAAAGGACCTCTAGGCGTCAAAGAAGAGAGGGCATGCCGTGCTGTACAGAAGAACTTGTTCGTCGTGAACGAACGCAAGACAAAGAATTGCATGGAAACGATGCGGTGGTATTGTGAGGCTCTCTATCGCACTGTCACACCCACTTGGGCATCTGAGCTTCAAAACCATTGAGCTTGTCTTAGTGATTTAAGCTCCGGCATGGTGGTGACGAACACAAACAGGAAAGTCTTTGATATATGCTCACGATGAGCTTTACAACTCAAAAAGGTGTCAAGGGAAGAGTGCGCCAGTTGCCCGAGAGAATACGAAGTTTGAACACTCCTTGTTGTTTTCCTTAACAATTTGAAGCCGAATCAACCTTTTTCCTTCTCGTGCACCAGTCTTCCACTTGATACCTTTATCCTCAGCAAAGCATCTTTCATTGCCAGAAACAATAGGTCCGACTCTGTGTAGCGACAAAAGGAAAACAAAATTCTCGACAACTTGCGGATGTGCCACACATTTCCTTAGCATACCTATCTTTGCTTCATGTGAAGCGTTCATTGACGTAACAGTATCACCACTGCTGATGGCTTGTACTACGCCGTCATCCGCCACACGTACGTCGATTGGAGAAAATACCTTGTAATTTTTAATAAAGTTCGTTAAACTTGTCATATGCTGTGTCGCTTCCAAGTTGGCCAGCCATACATCATTTGGTTTTGTTGGGCGACTGCTACATCCAAATAGTCATTAGAACCTTCTATATTCGCGACAGTGGGGAAACTGAGCGACGCTGAGTGTGTGATCCCGTTGGTCTCGCAGGAGGCGACAGCAACGCCATATGCTCGCTGCAAGACACCGGGAGTCCATCCTGACCCAGGATGTGTCTACCGTAGACGACAGCGAGCGGCGCTACACCCTCGTCAACGGTTTGACGAGGGGACGGCGACGTCAGGCAGGCGACTTAGCCAGAGTGGTCATTATACGACCGGAAGAGGAGCTTAACTTGTCGTCACTTCTGGATGAGGCTGTCCTGGAGAACACCAAGAGGGTGCTGAGCGCACGAAATGGATCTTCAATCCTGAACAATCCTTCGGATCCGTACTATATTTTGGTAATGAAATTTCAATATGTCGTCTCCAAAGATCCGCCGTCGGTCCTACCTCCGGACTGAGGTGTGCGTCATGAGATCAGCCTAGCTCCAAAAACCAAATGCTGCATAACACGCCAATAGCCCCTGCCCAAAGAGCAGTGTGACGTTATTGACGCCTTATTCCGTGCGAAGCAAGACGCAGGAATGGTGCGTGAGCGAAAGTCCACGTTTTGTGTCCGAATGCCGAACGGCAAGTGGCGTATCATTCAAGCTTATAATAAGCTAAACGCTGCCACCATTCCGGCACAAACGCCGATTCCACGATGTACTCTAGGACAACACGGTTGAATGTACAAAGTACAGTGCACTTGACTTGGTCGACGAGTTTACCAATTGCTCATTGGAGCGAGTGATATTCCGCTGACAGCGGTGGGTACTCCAAGCGGCATGCTCTGAGAGTGGCTGGTTATGCCCCAAGGGATGTCAAATGTACCAGCAACATTTATCTGTCTTGTGACGCAGATGTTCAGGCCTCACCGGGCGTATGCACAGACGTAATTCGACGACATCTTCGTTCACAGTCTTGCCGAGCACGGGAGGATAGATAAAGAGAACCACAAGTCCGGTTAAGTGCGGTGCTTGATAGCATGTGCACGAATAAGCTGTATGCTAATGCAGACAAGCGCATGTTCGACACCATATAATCCTCTTTTTAAGATGCTTATCAAGATGCGTGGCCTTCAAGTGAATCCCGCTAAGGTCAAGGCCATTGTAGACTGGCCAGTTTTAAAGTTACAAGTGGCTTGCCTTGCCAACTACTTGCACAAATCCAGCAAGATCTACCCAGAAATGGCACGGCCATTGTCGGATTTTCTCAAAAAAGAATGCGTAATGGTGTTGGGACGCCGAGTATCGGGAAGCGCCAAAGATAGCCTCCTTCATGCACCAATACTGACGTTGCAGACCCTTCGTTTCAGTGTCGTCTGTGACGCTTAGAAGTTTGCCATCGGCTATGTACTGCTGCAAGCAGATGCCGAGGGGTGAGATCGGGTCATCGCATTCGAATCTCGTCAGCTCAAGGCTGCAGAGAAGAACTACCCAGTTCACGACAAGAAATGATTTGCTATGAATTGTGTCTTCAAAGCGTGCAAGGATTGATGAAGACGGCCTGATAGCTGAAGCTGTTCTCGCTT